TACCTTGTTGCCTTTTGAATGTAGGTTTTTACGTGCATCCCCGTACGTTTCTTAAATAATCTTTAGTTATTTTAAAATTGAAGTTAAAATCTCTTTGGTATTCATTTCCTACAAAAAGCGAAGCCATTCGAGGGTTGTTTGCAAGCAAGACGAAGATTGTTTTGATAACCCTGGCATGCGTAAGTACCAATTTACCATCGAAACGATCGAACGAATTGTACAGGAACTAATTGTCCCACTCTGCAGGAATCGATTCCTCAGTGTTTAACACAGCAGCCCTAAATGCCATTGTTCTACACTCGCAAACTCCCCTAAAGCCTTTAAAAAAAGAATTTAATAAGGCAAAATATAATCATAATTCAAAAAGGCATATTACATACACTGAAAAACAAAAAAAAAATACTTCTACCACACGAGAAAACTCACCGGTAACGAGATACTTTCGAATCTAAACCGGAATTGCTGATGTGGAAAAACTCAACTTTCGAGCCACGACCAGCGCAAAAAATACTGTTTTTCGAGCCATTCTGTAGCGATGGTACCTGGAAAACGATTAAATTCTTTTTTTTGCCCCCTCGACCAGCAATAGTTGCAGTATTCGGATTAGAGAAAGTATGTTTTAGCAACTTGCAACTTCCTCAGTTGCATCTTCGAGTGGTCACCATGCGGCGATCCCCATGTCGCTATGGGCTTCTGAAGAAATTACCGACTCAATGTTTCTTTCAGCAAGCGCACCTGGCAAGATTTTAGCCTTTTCAAATTATTTTTGTTGTTTTTTGAATTTCATCGTTTCGCGTTATCACTCCCATAAAACAATCAGGTATTTTACTGAGCAGAAGGTGACTTCACAAGCTGTCTTTTTGGGTTATCCTATCCTAACTGCTTACAGCAGTTTCGTCAATTTCTCCATTCCCATGACTGATAAACCTCAATTTTGGGTTTACTATCAAAAACTCATTCATTCATTTCGGTAAGAAAAAGTGCAAGTCAGGAAATGAAATCATCTTAATTTGTTTTTTTTTTTTAATTAAGCCTAAGAAAGTACGCCATCGTGAGTTTTGTCGGCAACTGACTGAGGTTGACAACGTGCTGTACGGATCAATTTAGCCCTCTTTCGGCTCTTAAAGGAAAGTAAGATTTCTGGGAGAATTTAACTCTGACAGTTGCGGTGTGGAAATTTTAACAAAAAGGCAAGCAAAACCTCATTTCTTGCTTGCCAATCAAACAAAGGAGGTCGATTAGCAGGTCCTGTAAGAGCAGCAGCATAGATTAGGCGCATCTCCTTCAAACTGATAAGAAATAACTTTCGTAGTGAAAGGAAAGCGAGAATTCGGTCGTTGTCCAACATCTTCAGATATACGACCTGAAAATTAGATACGCTTCTTTTTTAAAATAACTGGCTCGAGAAAAGCGAAAAGCCTACAGCCTTCCTAAACTGACAACTGTTTCTTAAACCAATTGCCTTCTTTTTTCCACAAAAAAGGGACTTTGAAGCTCAATCGAGCAATGTGGGGATAGTTGATGAGCGATTGACATAATAAAATAGAGGGCTTGGACTAAGTGTCATGTGCAAGAAGACATCTCAGGATGCAATCTGTGTTTCATTCCCTAATTGTAGACACAGACCGAACTATGCATACGGGTAGAAGCGGGAATCATCAGTACAGCTCCATATCCGCCATATAAACTGAACAGTCATGTGACTAAATTGCAAGACGAGTATGCGAAAGGAACAGAAAACATAATTATAAACCGCTAAAACTTCAATTTTAAAATAAAGAGAGAGAGAGAGCAGGGAAGGTAAGAGAAGTTAATCTACAGTAAGGACAATCATTGTCTGTTAATTATGAGCCAGTATTTCTTATGAAAACAATGTGCTGACTAGGCGTTTGATTCCTGAATCATCAGGAAAAATGAATTTACCGAGTACTGCTCGAGTACTGAAATAGAATCTGAGAACGAAGCATTCTATTTTGGCAACATTAAATCTTCTCTACCCATAGGTGCTTATAAACTGTCTAGCCCATTCATGGAACTCCTCTGGAAGAGTGCATATACGTAAATAACGAAGTAGCCGCGATATAATAACACCTTCTTGCATCGTACTGTCACATCATTGTTTGGATGCCCTCGTGATTTAATATGGTGGGGTAGTCCAAGGCCTTACTGTATATATTGGAAGTACATCTGCTTTTTTGGATAAAATTTCGAGGTCAATCACCTCTCCGTGACAACCCGAAAATATGCATCGAGTTCGTCGCGACTTCATTCTTGTTGCTGTTCTCATTTCAAACACTGAGCCTCCAGAATCCAGACACGCAAACCTTTTGCTACTGAAATAATAATAATTCGAGTAAGACCATCAATGAAGATCAGAAATGTCACATATTTTCGACTACTATAATCATCCCGTTTTGTTTTTGCTATAAAAATTCTATTCTCAGCTGCAATAACTAAAAAACAAAACTGAACTAAAACTATCAATATGGGCCGGGCAGTCGGCCTAAAGATTCGATAATCCTAAAACCGAGATGATAATAAGCAGCATGGCTTAGCCGCTTCTTTCAGCCCTAAGCTGTATGCCCTTAACTTTTCGAAAGCTGCTCAAGTGGTCATGGAATGAAAATAGGGTGAACAAACTCTGCAAAAAAGGCAAATACTGTACCTTCCGACGAAGATAACTTGCAGGATTCCTTTACCGGGTTGAACAACTTCGTTGGTTTCATCAACCATCTTGCCAGTGGCGATGTTGAATATACGCAGCAGACCTGAACCGTAGCCAATAGCCAGATGGGTGCCATTGTTGTTGAAATTCAGACACGATACCGGGCAACCATTTGATGATACCGAATGCACCAACCTATAAGAAAATGGTCATCGCCTCTACATGGTGGTAAAAGCATCTCTTTTTTTCTTAAAAATTTTGATAAGAGAATTTTCGATTATGCCTAAAAAATACAGCATACAGTGTATTTTTAACATGTTTGATTGCGAAGCGATGCATAACTGGTCAAAACAAATGTAAAAGTTACCAGCTGTATAGCTGGAGAAACCGGAGTATGAAGCACTGCTGTTCTAAGTATTAAACCATGATTATCAACAAATCCAGTAATGAAAAGTATGCAAACTAAACAATGTCAAAATGGTAAAAAAAAAACAAAAATTTACCAAAAATTCACTCAAAAAGAAGCCCTGCACTTTTTTTCGACACGATTAAAATTTTAAGTCCTTTTTCGAACCCATTTGTGCTGTATTATATAAAGTGATACTGATATCGTAGCAGATTTACGAATATGTGCTGGCAGTGCGAAAGTCAGAAAAAAACAGGAATTGAAACACTCTTCAGAAATGCGAGAATTAAAAAACCCTTAATTTTAAAGAGCGTTTCCGCACTGTACTAAATCTCATTTAACTATTTTCTTTACTTTTTTTTGGGGCTGTGGGACGGGGGGGAGGGAGAGGAAGGGGGAAGAAGGGAAGTCAGGAATAGCTGAATTTCTCGCTGGACCTAGCCATCGGACGCCAGGACCAGTACTCCACAAAGTGCAAAGATTTCGATTTTATTTACAAATGGAGTAAATTTTTGAATAATTATATCTTGTTGAAATAATCTCTTCTATTTAAGAAAAACAACGCCCAGTTTGTGAAGTAAAAATTCGGAATATGTGTAACCTCTGATTTTCTCGACCAAACACCAATACTAAGCCACGGCTTGTACCGACAGCAATGTGAGCAAGAGAAGCGGTTAAGGCACTTGCATGGCCACCTCCACCACGATCGTTTTGCGCTTTCAACTGGTACGATATAGAATCTATGTGAAAAATCAAAAATTACCTCGAAAATTGTTAAAAATTAAAAAAAATGTTTCGAAAACCACTAAGATAACTACTAACAAGTAAGGCACAGTGGCAAGTTTCCTTGAAACACCTTAATAACAAACAAATAAAAAGCCCGGTTCAAGAAAACGAAAAAAAAAAACAAAATTTATCAGAAAAAAGCAATTACCGAGTTTTTTACAATGAAGAGGTGTGTCGAGCGAATAGGAAGCCGGTGAAATGGCTCGGGATAGTCGCGGTGTGGTGATGATCGATTCCTCATCGTCTACTCCGCTGAGGAACTCCTCGTCCAAATCCAAAATTTTCTGCACATAAAGAACAATCATTATTTTTACATTTCCCACTTAACGATGCTTTCTAGCCTTCACCCCTTTCG